ACTATTATTCAGACATCATATGAATCATTTAACAACTGTAAAACGTGTGTAATCTTTATATACAAAAAGGTATTTCGCTAAAAAAAAAATGATCATATCTACGGCAATCAAAGTCCACAACTAACTATCGATAAGTCATTGTATGATGTGACATTTATCTCCTCTATCAACTGCGTAGTTTGGTTTCAAAACTAAGATTTTCAGTAACAGGTTTTTGGTAAAATATGCCGCTTGTACGCTAATCGGACAGAACGAGATATATAGTGTTCACTAACACCAGCCAAACATGGTGTATTCTGGAGATGTTCTTGAAATAATTTTATTAGAAGATGTTCGCCAAATCATTTTGTTTAGAGCTGCGATATGGGCGACCTCGACCTCATGAAATCAAAGACCCAAACTCTCAACGCTTTGAACATAAGCGTTCATCAATCATCAAGTTATGGCTAGCAATGTGATAATATATCAAATATTATTCCAAGAGCATGCAGTATTGTAAAATATCCCGTGATGAAGGTATGAATAATATATTTTACACCTAATGGTAAGGTTTTTGTCCGAAATCTCGATAATAAGTGTGTCTTATTTCTTTTGGAACCACATAACAGATATCATTATATAATATATATCATTCAATGATATGACATTTTTACTTTTTGTCGGTGTTAAAGTAATTCTATAGATTTCACTGGTATTTTCTGCCTTCAAAAAATTTTTTTTAGGGTCAATCAGTATGATTTTCAGTGCGTTCCTCAAATTGTGATGTAGATTTAAAAAAGTCAAATGAGAAAATGTCTGATAAGTAAGATAGTTAATTGTAGGTTTTTATTCTACTTAAAATCTTAAATCTATCACTAGGGCCTCTTTATGCAGGTCTTTTTTGGGTCATGTTTGAATATTTCGAAAGAGTATTTTATATTCTTCATCTGTCTCTGTTGCAGTAATTCGTCTTGCGATATATAATGAATATTAAAAAAATAATAAAACATCACTTTGATTTTAATGTTGGAACTTAAATATATTCAACTGTAAAAAGAAAAGCTTTATTGCCCTTTTATTTACATAATACTATGGTAAATCCTTTTCTTTTTTTCCTTCCATGGCAACATTTTATATTGCAAAAGAATAATTTTAAGCTTCTTCAATTATTTATTATTCTTCCATTTGAGGTGCTTCAAATTAAATCCCTGTCTGTTTTTCATCCTGCGTAATGTCTCAAAGATATATACTTATTTTCATCTGGCATTTCATTGGAAATAATATTTCAATGAAATATATTAAATATTATGCAGTGGAAGTACATAATAAGTCAATCATTTTTAAACTGCTCTTTGAATTTTATTTTTATTATTTATTATTATTTTATGAAGTTCATTTTAATGTCCTTTTTATTTCAGTTTGAATATTGTCGCTAAAATAAAAGTTAAGATAACTTTAATAAAAAAAATTTGTTGGAAATAAAATTTTTATTTATTATGCTTATGAACCACAATTGCAAAACTGCAAATTTTATTATTTATTTATTTTTTTTTGTTTTTTTTTTGTCAATCAAATCGTATATAAATTTATATAAACTTTCAATTGAGTGTAAAACACCCGCATAAAGTGGGAATGTACACCGATGGTCTCGGTCTCGGCGAGAACAAAATTAAAAGTTTCAATGGAACTTGCTAAAGTGCTTTTATGCTTTAAGAAGTTGCACGAGCATGGAAAAAATCTACCACAAAGTTCAGCAATTTGCTCTGAGGAACTGGGAAGGTAAACATGAACTCTCATTCGCTTTAAGGAGCACTGCGTTCCGTTCCTTGTTTGCGCCTCATCTTTTATGCAACGCGTGTACGAATATTTTTATCCATTAAAAAAGCCATCATAAAATTTCACTTAAATTGAAGTTGGGCTCAGTTGGTGCGAAATGCGACGGGCGAGGAGCGACGGGCCAGGAGCCAGGAGCAAAAGCAGTGAAACATGAGAATTATGCCACATATTTATGCGTTGATTATTAAATATACTCCAAAAGTGAAATATTTTCATGAAATATCAAAGTTGAGGATTTTTCAGAAATAAATTAACTTATTTGTAATTTGTGCCTTTTGTTCAAAGCTGCCTAAAGGCCCTTCATATGTTTCATTCATTGTATGCTTTTGTATTAAACAATAAATATTTTTCACTATAGAAATTTTTCCATAGGAGGAGAGGACCATAGATGAAAATAATATGCTACTTCTTTAGAAAAAAGCTTTAGCAAATTTAGGATAAACAAAAAAATAAAACGGAAAATATGTGTTATTTTCAAAAGGATATGAAAAAAAAAAAATCAGAGCACTAATTTCATGTCCGGCCTTAGTGAAAAAAGACATTTATGTGGGTTAAGAAGATTTGTTGTGTCTAATTTCATAATAGAAAAAATATATCACTTAGGATTATCGCCTGATGTGTAGTTTATTTAAGTCAAAACCATTATGCTTATTTAATTTATAGAATAATATACACCTTTAGTATTTTGAGCGATAAGAAACTGCTTAAAGACACCTGCTAAAATTGATTGAATAATATCTAAAATTAGGATATGTATTTACTTACGCCTTATGCCGCATTTCCAAAGAGAGTCAACTTTAAAATATAATTAAATCGTGACATTACCAAAAATGAGATTAAAAGTAGAGCGAAATTGGATATAATACTTTAAACCTTTACTATGGCTAGGATATCAAAAAATGAACTCGAAGTCAATAAACGAAAACTTACAAGTCCTTCGATTGGTTAGCATGCTAGAGGTAACCCAAAAAATTTATATATAAAACGTATAGCGAGCAATCTTTACAAAATGGGTTGGGTGGGTATATGTTTAAGAATACACATTGATTATGGAGAACTGATATTGCAGAGATAAAAAAAACTAAAGGGAAGTCCTACATCCCTTTAGTTTCCCTTTAGTTTTTTTTTATCTCTAAAGGGAAGTCCTACATCCAATACACCCTTATTGAACCTACTCTGCTTTATGGGGTTGCTTTCTGGTGGCAAGCCACTGAAAAGGCATGTCACTCTAAACTTATTGACAAAACTAGGAGAATATCCGCTCTTCAAATCACCGGTGCTTTGCGCTCCACTCCCACTAAGGCCCTTTTCACTCTGCTTCACTGGTTGCCATCGCGGCTTCTTGTAAAACAGCAAGCTAAGATTGTAGCAACCAGACTAAATGCTCTTTCACGCTGGTCTAGAATTGATACAGGACATGCGATCATACTGAATCAGGATCTTCCAGCCCCCTTATCAATCGACTACAAGTGTTCCTACTCAGACCTTAACCAGGGGTTTAAAGTTCTTATACCTAGCAGAGAAGACTGGACCCTTGGAAGAGTATCTACCCCTAATACAATAGATATCTACACAGATGGCTCCAAAATAGACAATCGAGTCGGCTGTGGCATTTTCTCGGAAAGATTAGGTCTTAGTGTCTCGCTTCGACTTCCTAACTACTGTAGAAGTAATGGCTATCCATTATGTTGTAAAATGGATACTTGACAATTGTACCTCTGTAGAAAGCTATTCGATTTTCTCGGACAGTCAGGCTGCCGTTAAATCACTGGTAAGCACCTCAGCCTCATCAATTATTACGCAAAATTGCCGTGTTTCTCTCAATGACCTAGCTATGTGTGCTAACGTTCAACTTATCTGGGTTCCTGGTCATAGGGATATTGCGGGTAACTGCAGGGCGGACGAGCTTGCCAAGACGGGGGCTCTTCTCCCTGATATTTATTTTTTAGAAATTGGTGTTCCACTTGCAACAGTTAAACTGGCAATTAAACAAAAATATCTAAGCATTGCTCAGCAGCAATGGGTAAGTGAGCCCAGTTGTCACATTTCTAGGTCGATCTGGTCTAAATTGGATAAAAAGCGTACAAATCAGCTGCTCCAACTAAAGAGAGAACTGCTCAGTGCTACGGTATCGGTGCTGACGGGTCATTGTCTAATAGGGAGGCATGCTATGAGACTGGGTCTTCCTTATAATGACCTTTGTCGAGGTTGTGGCTCTGAGGACGAGGAGGAAACTGTGTTTCATCTCATGTGTCAGTGCCCATCTTTAGCCAGAAGAAGATCAAAAATCTTGGGGGCCCCTTTTCTGACTGATCTAACTGATCTGTCATCCTACAATGTGAGGGACCTAGCTAGATTCATAGAACTGTCGGGCTGGTTTTCTTTCACCTAATGGGGGAGTCGTTGCCTGTTGGGCGTTGGTCGTATACAGATCACCTTATCTATATACGAACATCGCTCTTTCCTTGTGGTACCACAACGGGCCATTATTTGTGCTTAAGTGGGCTTTTTCTTGGTAAACAGGGCCGCCACTCCAACCAACCAACCAACCAATACACCCGTTGAAAGATTAGTGCTAGTTATGTTTTTATTTTATGCTTCATTCAAGATTTTGACCAATAGAGTCTTAGGTGGTAAATGTTTTATAGAAGGCGGCTTTTCATGCTTTTGACCTATTGAAAAAAAATTAATTTTAATCGGCTAAATTAACATAGTAAATAAGTTTTTAGATGATGTGGCATAATATAGCTAATCTGCTGTTAATTAGTAAAATTTTCTGAAAGACAGTGAGAACTCATTTTAGTAGATATAGTTATACTGGTATATAAATATAGAAAACGACAGACGATATACTAGCCATCGCCGCGAATTCTAAAAATCTCTATTAAGAACTAACTAACTATTTACCTACATATATAAGTGGCGTCTTGTGAAAGTAACATTTTATAGAAAGAGGAAAAATAGACTTCCAATCGATCTGTTTGCTCATTCTTAATCGTTAATCGTTAATAATATGTTTTCTTGACCTGTCCTTAGGACTATTTGGCAATAGTAATAGTTAACAACAAGACAATATAACTTTCACTTAAAACATTTTATTTTGTTAGACATATATATTTGTTTATAGTTTTTTTTTAACCTCAAAATATAAAATTTCTAACAATCTATATTATTTTTAATTTCAGTTCCTGTGCTGTAAAAATATCAAACTTTTTCTCGATGTTTGTCGTAACCACTTTAATGTACGTGAATCAGATTTATTCGAACCCACAATGCTGTATGACTTGACAAACTTTCATCGAGTACTCATAACCCTTTCAAAATTATCTCAATGCAGAAAGGTGCAACAACTCCATCCAAATTTACTGTAAGTTTACATTAAAACAACAATAGAATATATTAAACCTCATGTTTTAATATACCACAGAGGCTTTAATATACAATTATCATCCAATGAAAGATCCCATTCCGATGAGGCCATATATAAGGATCTGCATTGCACGTAAGTTTAGTATATATTATACCTATATGAATAAATATATGAATATTTTAGTGAGTTATTTTTAAAATTAAAGTTTTACTACTTTTCCTTTCCAAAAATTTATTAGAATTGTCAGAAGTTTCTTTTTTTTTGTTTTTGTTCTCTTAAGCAACCAGTACTAACAATAATAATTTCTCTGTTTATATGCTCTGCTATCCCTACTGACCACTTCTACTATCACTTTTGTACAAACTAACCTCATGTAACTTCCTATTAACGACTCAAATCTGAAATCTGAAACCTGAAATCCGAAATTCGTGCATTTGTGTTTGTGTGTTAACCATTAATTAAGTGAGAGTAAAAAAAACGGCAGTATAGATGCGCCTTCCGAAACCTTCGATCGCACCTCACAAAGTGGCTCGATATCTGTCGATGATGAAAATAGTGATATAACCGTTGAAAACGGTACAGAAGATACAGAAGACTACGAAGAGGATAATTTTTCAAATATGTGTGACACTATTGATGATGAAGTACAATCCGTCCATTCGAATGGTAGTTCTGGTGCTACAGCAGCATCTGGCTCACTGTGTTCGCGTAGTGCTACGTACGCTGCATTCGGCTGTAGTACGACACGTACATCTACAAATTACAGTTCTATTGGGAGTAATGCTAACAATTGTTCTACCAAATCAGTACTGAACGATAATCAAAGTTTGCAAAAAGTTGCTGCCATCGCATGGAATTGTAAGCAAACAGAAAAGGAAATGGGTCATGAATACCTAAACGATGTTTATTCCGAAGATGAAGAAAAAGTATATGAGGATTTATGCTACGTCACGTTCTCCTCCAAAGTATCTGAGGTGTGCGCATTTGCTTTTTTAAACATAAAATCCACACTTACTTACCATACGTATTAAATGTATTTGCATAAAATCCAGCTAAAAAGCCTTTATGTTTGTAGTGTAGTTGATTTTCTTGATGTTGATTGCGTGGGTGAATGCGGTCTTTGAAAGTAGCTACATATTGTATGTGTACTCGTATGATATGATATGCAACAGTTGCAAGTAAGCATCCAACCAATATGCTGAGGGTGAAATTTATGAGATATGTAGACTCTTTTCATGTGCAAATGAGATGATGTGTTTATGTCGAGTAAGAATGTTACTGTTCTGCATGAATTTTTAAAAACATTAAAACGTAAAGCAGTATTCGTTGTCATATTCCATGCTTTGCACTGTTAGTATCAATTATTATGTTACCAAATTTAATCCGCATGAATGTTGATATTGAAATATCCTTTAAATACCTATAATTTATTTTTTTCTACTGTTTTTAGACTATACTATTAAATCATAAACGTATTGTTTTGGTTGAATTAAAATTTATTAGAGAATATTTATTAATTTATTATATTAGAATGTAAAATTCAATTCTTATTCTATGCTATTTATATTTTATCGGACTATAAAAAATCTTTATAATTGTATATGTATATATTTTAATCTATTCATATCTTTACTTATAATATAAATATCGTTAACAGGTAATATATGATAACAAGTCTGTTATATTTTCCCTTTAAGCAAATCTGTTATTTATTTTTAGACCTTTAAGGGAAAGCTTAAAATCTATTACATTGTATTACATTGAAGCTATTTGAGCCAGTGCACTTGAGCAGTTTTACTCTTTCTTAACTCGAGGTATTTTTAAAACCCCTCTTTACGCCTTGACTGGATTATTGTAGTTTCATACAAATGCAAGAACAACAGCCACAAACTTCTCAATACCTCTCTGCCTGTTATCTCTATGAAAAAAGTGCCTTCTTCGTGCAGTAAAAACACGGGCTTAACAAATACTTGTCACACATTAATTTAAGTCCAATTTATCGTTAGCTACCTTTCTCATATTATTTTTTTCCTGTTTTCTGCTATAAAGATATCCACTGGCTACTACAACAACAGTAATGCTCCGCCTCGTTGAGGTCACAAATTTCTTTCCTTCCGCACCATTCTAATTACAAAAATATGTGTCCTTGACTGCAGTTTTGTCTCTCAATAATTCGCCTATTTATTTTCATATTCAAAAGTAGACATGAATTTAACTCATATTCATTAACGACAAGATTCTTTCAACTGATTTTGAGTTAGGTTTAACGTTCTTACCCATACTGTTCTTCACTACAACCTAATACCTCTTTACTTATCCCATACTATTATATTTGTGTACCTTAAGTACCTTTATGGATCAGACTAGTGTACGAGGGTTAAGTAAGAGGAGATATAAGTACATGCTTTTCAGGAATTATTTTTAGTTATTAATACCTAATTTCTTCACTTCTTGTTACATTGTAGTACAACAGCTTCATAACTTTTTTTCTAATATATACTCAAGAAGTGAATTAATAACCAGCTCCCATCTCTCACTTCAAAGGAAGAAATATTAGCGTTAAGTAAATGCAGACTAATGTCTGATTTAATATTTAATATGATTATCAATTCTTATTCGGTTAGTAAGCTCTTCAAAAACAAAAGCCGCCTAACTCCTACAATTATTAATCAAATATTAATTTTTTTAAATTTACAATAATTTTCGCAATTTATTTTTAGCCAAAAATGCACAATTAATTTTGAAAATAAAATTTTACAATACAGATTCAATAGTTTTTTTATAATATTTACATAAATTTTCTACATATTCAAATCATATATCCGATATTAAAAACATTTCTATATATATTCAGCCTTATTTATTTAATATTATTCACCGTGGTAAATAAAAACTGAAAACGAAAATAATGAAACCGCTGGGCGTATAAATAAAAAAAATAATAAACTTTCGTAAGTTTAGAGAATGCCACTGTACGCTGCAATCCAGGATGTTAATAATTTTTGCTTGGAATATAAATAAATAATGGACGCAGTGTACAGTGTTAACTTTGGTGTTTTGCCGCTACTGTTTAGCTCTGAGAATTTATTTAAATTTGTCCACTTTCTTGTGCTACATGTCTACCTTCATCCTCCTCACTTTCGCTGCTACTGCTGCAACTACTAAATAATTTGGTTACCATTGTGGCACCTGTAGATACCATGCCAGCAAGTGGTGTTACATCTAAGCTTGGATATTCAGCCTTAACTATTTGCCCGAAAACATTTAACAAAGCATCAAACCGACGTTCCAGTCTACGATTGAAATGTCGCTTGTGACGATAATACCTTTCACGCTCACTTAAATTCGAATTTTGCTTACGCTTTTTTGTTGTATCAGGTTTTGCTGCCGTTGAGGTGGAGGGAAGTGGTGCAGTTTCAACTTCCACTTCTCCCTCAACAAACTCTTGCTTTATATAGACAATATTATTACTGTCATTAGGGTTTGTTAAACCAAACCTCTTATCATTCTCGTCTGCAGTTGCACCGCATAAATATACTTCTTGCGCGATATTTGTACAGGCATCTTCGCTAGCTGTGTCTGTCATATCATTTGGATCTTCATTTAGCGGTGGTGGTGGTTGTCTTGTTGATGCGTATGAGTGTAAATTAGTATTTTTTGCTTCCATAAAACGATGTATGGGTTGAAAGAATTCCCACTCCTGTGAGATTAAATATTGTACTTCATCGTAGAGATCTTTTGAATCCAAGTTATCGAGTCGGTTTTGCTAAAACATTTAAGTTAATAATTATTTACAAATAATTATGTATTGCATACCTTGTACATTCGATATTTTGCAAGCACACTCGACCATTGCATGCGTACGAAATTCGCATTAAAATCTTCTAATCTTGCCAGTGTTAAAATTCTTCTACATTTTAAATAAATAAAATAAAAATATTAATTAATAATTAGTACACACAATTTTAACAGTAATTATTAATATTGTAAAATTTAAACTATTAACCTCCATGGCATCGGAGATGTTGATGTCTTATTGTAAAAAAGCGGATCGTATTTGATTCGCGCCTCAACAAGTCGCCGCTTGTGCTCAATTGTCCCTAAAAAAGTTTTTAAGCAATTCTTGGTTAGAGTTTCACAATGACAATTTCAATAATTAAACTCACATTTTTTATGTGGCACCCTCCGTTTGGCATAAGAATGCAGCTCCATTCTTTTTTAGTATTTTACATTCTAAACGTTAATTAATTTTTTTTCGCTAAATTTACAGCTTTAGAACTGCATTTCCAAATGCGAACAAACTCTACACTGCGGCCTTAGCGCAGTCATAGCTTTTGACGTTCGTTTTTGAGGTTAAAATTTGGCTACTGAGAGCAAAAACCTACCACGAGCATTTGTTTACGTTTTGTGTTGTTTTGCTGGCGAACATCTGATAAGCAAGAAATTGCGAAAATGACAATTCACAATAGATTTTATCGATAACTTTTATAACAACAAAAATTCAAAAATATATTCAAGCTTCTTAAATTTTATATGCTTGCATTCAATATATGTGCATTTTTATTTATATTATTTTATTTATTATTTAAATATAAACATAACAGTATAAAAACTTAATACAACAAAACTGAAATTAAATTAATGAATAAAACTTATACAACTGAATATTAAATATTGTTATTGTTTGTGGTAATTCGTGGGAAACTACAGAGCAGAAGACATTATTCGAATAATATTGTTATATTATTTGTAATATTAAATATTCTGAATTATATTAATAATGCTTGAAAAATTATATGAATTATAACTCATATATATATATACACGATTTCAGTTATTATTTATTATGCTTATAAGATTTAAAAATTTACCACCCTTCAATAGTTTATAAAAATTCTAATTACAATTTAAAAAATAAATAAAAATAATTAAAAAAATAAAAATAAAACAAATAAAAATAAAAAAAAAATATTAAAAGTAATATTTAATAGTAATTTTAATTTAAAACACGTTTAAACTTTTTTTATTTAACATATTTATATTATATTTAGAATAAATATTTATTTACAATGCTTTTTACAAAAATTTTCTCAATTAAATTATTTTTAATTTTATATTATTATTAATTTTATATTATTAATTTTTTTATTTTGATTTATGTTCAATTTGGATTGGATTTCATAATTTTTATTACATCAATTAAAATATTAGTACCAACGATAATGTTGCATGCAATGGTCCAGTTTATGATCATACAAATACCAAAGAAGAAGAGGTCTATCAAGACTTATGTGCCTTACAAAGATCGAGCAGAAATCAGGTATTTTTAAAAAGTGTTTTTAATTTAAAAGGCTTATATAAATGAAAAAGAAATGTTTAATTAAAAAAATTGCATGATTTGCATTCACTTTACATATAATAATTATAATGCATATATTTAAAATATCTTTTATATTTTATTATTATTTATAATTTATTCAGATTACTTCAGCAACAAGTTTTGAACAAAGAGATTATGTTATTCGAGAGTTAATAGATACGGAATCAAATTATTTAGATGTATTAAATGCACTCAAAACAAAATTTATGACACCTCTAGAGCGATATTTAAATCCCGATGAAATAAAAAAAATTTTTCCACGTATAAAGGTAATTTTATTATATTATTATACCTTATGAGTTGATTTATTTACATAATATATTTGTTATTTAGGATCTGGCCGAAATACATACAAAGTTTTTAGATAAATTGCGGGAATCTCTATCACCAACAACAAAACTAAAAATGAGTCAAGTATTTTTGGAATTTCGGGAACCTTTTCTAATATATGGCGAATATTGTTCTTGTTTATTAGATGCTATCGATTATTTGGGGGACGTTTGCAAAAAGAATCAAATAATTGAACAGTTAGTACAGGTAAGTTTATTTTAAAAGCTTTAGTGCTTATATAAGTTAAAAGTTTTTATTCTATTAATGATATGAAGTATAAAAGATCATATGTTTCTGTCCTCCTAGGTGAAGAATAGAGTTTCTAGTATGAATAATTTCTTATAGTTTATGCCAGACTTCATCTCCAGCTCATAGCCGAAGCAAATAAAGTGTTGCTATTTGATTACTGAGAGTCTGCCGTATTTAGCCCTATATGCATATCTAGATTTCTTCTGTTGTGCTAATTTGGCTTGTCTCAGCCCATAGTTATTGGATATTCTTTGAGGTAGATCAGATGCGCAACATTCTTAGTAAATATTGTAAATAAATAGTAAACTTTTACTTTTATAAAATAGTAAATATTTTATGAAAGTATTTTTTTATTAGATTGGAGTTGTACTTTTCCCCTTGTACACTATTATATTTTGGTTCCATTAAATAGAGCTGCCAATATTTGTATTGGATACGTGAAATTCTGTGGTTGTAGGAAAGATATATCATTTTAAACTGAATAAAAGCACATCTAACCTTATTGGTTCTAGCAAGAAAAGAGTTTCTTTGGGTAAAATTTACTGTAACTACTTGAGTGTTTCACATCTATCAGAACGGTTAGGAAAAAGGCTCGCATCTTCTCCTTCCTAATGATGGGCATTGACACATGACGGGGAGTACAGTTTTCTCTTCATTTACAAACCCTCAACTCCAACAAAAGTTGTTAGAAGGTAAAATTTTATAATGTACCTTCCTAATACGCCGTGGCGTACCAACACCGATATCGTCTTACACAGTTGCTTCCGCTTTAGTTAAAAGAGCTGAGTGGCATGAATTATGCCCAGGAGAGGCTTGTGATCAGAGAAGAATCTTTATTCAACTGCCATAGCATAACGTTTCAATATTAAACTATAACAGTACACCTGCCTCTCATCGGACTTATTTCGTTAAGATAAAGAATAGTCGTCAGTGCAAGTTCGTTGCAATAGGAAATGTTTATTGAAGGATTTTATATAGGCTATATATAACCCCTTAAGAATAAACTACGTTAAAAAAATTAGCCAAAGCTATAATATATCAGTATTATTAATATAAAACTATTGTTACTAATTTTAGCAATGTGAACGTGAATACAACGTGGGAAAACTCCAACTGCGTGATATATTATCAGTACCAATGCAACGTATATTAAAATATCATCTGCTTTTAGATAAACTAGTTAAAGAGACTTCTCCGGTATGTATTTTTCTTCTGATATTTAAATTTATATATTATATATTTGTTAATTTATGCATTTTTCAGATGCATGAGGACTATCGATCTCTTGAACGTGCCAAAGAAGCGATGATTGATGTATCACAATATATAAATGAAGTTAAGCGTGATTCTGATCATTTAGTAATAATACAGAAAGTGAAGGTATGTATTGAAATTGAAATGGAAATAAATATTCCAAAACACAATCAAAATTTCTGATAATTTTCATTTCCAGGATAGCATTATTGATCTGCACCTTTTACAAAATGGCAATAATTTACTACAATATGGTCGATTGCTACTTGATGGTGAACTGCATATAAAGGCACATGAAGATCAGAAGACTAAATTACGTTATGCATTTGTCTTCGATAAAATTCTTATATTGGTTAAACCCTTACATACGAAGACGGGCGACATGCAATACACATATCGAGAGTCACATCATTTGTGCGATTATCGTGTGGAACAAAGTCATTCACGTCGCACGCTTGGACGTGACACACGTTTCAAATGTCAATTGTTGTTAGCGCGTAAATCGGGAAAAACAGCATTTACACTATATTTGAAATCGGAACCTGAACGCGATAAATGGCGTAAAGCGTTAACAGAAGCAATGTAAATACTTTTGCGTACTAATTTGCGTTTGTTTATGAAATGTTTATAATTCGTAGGGAAAATTTGGATCCGCCGGGTTGTCGCAACACTGATCACAAAATGGAAATATGGACTTTTGATATGCCAACAACATGTCGGCATTGTTCTAAATTTTTAAAAGGCAGAATACATCAGGTTAGTTAAATATCATTTTTTAATATTTATATATAATGTTAAATCGTCGTGTATGTTATAAATTCTTCCAACAGGGATATCGTTGCAAAGTTTGTGAGATAGGTGTGCATAAAGGCTGTATATCATCCACTGGACGCTGCAAACAGAACTCAATGTTGATACCACCGCCAGTTTGTGATCGTATATTATCAGAATTTAATTGGTAAATTAGTCTTTTTGTAATAATTGTGTATGGTTTTTTGTAGTTAAAAGCCTATAGAGTGTTATTCTTTATATAAATATTACAATATATATTTTTTAATATGTTCTTCAGGTTTGTTGGCACTATGGATCGTGAAACAGCTGCTGCCCGCTTGGAAAACCGAAGAGTTGGTACTTATTTGTTGCGTGTCAGGCCACAAGGTGCTTCCAATCCACACGAGACTATGTATGCTTTAAGTCTAAAGTAAGTTTCAATGTGAATTTTAGGAATTTTATTCTCATTGCTCTGTACTGCATAATAATAAATCTGTAAAAGTTTAGAAACTATAAAAAATGTTTGATTTAATAGTAAACGTCCTTAGAATATGTATTTGTTTGGATCATTACTAAATTTCCTTATACCTTTCCGTAATATATCCAGACATAAGGTCAATATACTAACCTATTTTGTTTTATATAATGATTGAATGTAGTATATCTGTTATAATAATTCTAATATTAATTACTTCTAGGGCGGATGATCACGTCATAAAACACATGAAAATTAATCAAGAATCTGAAGCAGAAAATGTATTGTACTGCCTTTCTTCCAGAAGACATTTCAAAACAATTGTTGAACTGGTTTCATATTATGAGCGAAACGATTTGGGAGAAAATTTTGCAGGGTAAATAAGCTAATAACATTACATTACATTACATATATAAAATTAAATAAAAAATACCCTACATTAGTATTAACAATAATATTTATTAATTGTAGCTTAAATCATACACTTCAGTGGCCCTTCCGGGAGGTATACGCAACTGCAATATATGATTACGAACCACAAGGTAGTAATCAATTACAACTGAAAACTGGTTGTCAAGTGCTAGTAATTGGCAAGGATGGCGACAGTAAAGGTTGGTGGCGTGGAAAAATTGGTGATACGGTATGAATATAAATAATTTAAAATGAATATATAAATAAAATGAATTTATTTTAGGTTGGTTACTTTCCAAAAGAGTACGTACGTGAACATCCGCCTACAAGTGATGAACTCTGATATTATAATTATGCCATATATTTTACAACTGAAGTCAAAGTACAACACCATTTGCCACCTCCGCAACAAGAGGAGGAGCAAACACTTGGTATCGCACCTCTTGTAGAGCAAGAAACTCTGGTCAATGAGGATCAGTAAGATCAGGTCAGATAAGGTCAGTGTTAGTTTATAGAACAGCATTTAGTTTAAATAGTTTTTAATTATGTGTATAGTATATGTATTAAGCATTTTTAATGGTTATAATATCGTCATCTCTAATGTAATTGAACTGTTTTTAAAGTTGTGTGTATAGTTAATACGATAATTTGCATTTAAGATGATTGTGGCATTTTAAATCGCAAAAGGAAAAAAAGCTTTAAATACTTGTGTACGTTAACATATATATAACACTGCAAACTTTATATATATTTATGTGTTATTATATATTTACAAAATATAGATATAAACCAAGTATCTATTTATGTTTAGCATAGAATATTCTTAAAATTTTAACAATGTTATGATACATAAGAAAATGCATTTTTAAATTGTATACTGACAAATTTTTGTAATATTTTATATTGTTTTATTTATATTATTTGTAGTTAAAGCGACAACAAATTATATAAAAAGAAAATTTCTATAGCAACGAAATTTTTAAAATTTTAACACAGATTATTAGTTAATGATTTAAAAAAAAAATTTGCATGTAAATGTCTTAAAAATTTAAGTATCTAAACTGTCTCAACGAAATGCACAATTAATCTAATCTGTTGAATTCATTAATTAGGATTTAAATTAATTTATATAAATTTAAGTTGAAATTCTTAAATACGTTGGTAATTTAAAATTAATTTAATCAAAAGAAAAATATTATTTGTACATTTCACATCAACCGAAATGTTTTTTATACCTCTAAAACACTACATCTAACATATATTTTTTGGTACTGACATTATATCCAGTTGATAAAATAGCAGAGTTAGAACCATTTCTGATCCATGTCAAGGCTGATTTATTAAAACAAGTAGCGAGTTTAAGAGTCCGATTTCCTAACTGCGAAACGGTTACTTGTCACTTAAAAAAGCTCTGTCGAAAAACGATTATTGTTGTAGTAACTTCGCACATAGATAGTCATTCAAATGATGCAACTGTGAATAGAAGGCTACCTACGCATTGCATGACGATTCCCTTTTTCGTATTATGAAAATTTAAACTCCTATCGCAACGGATTTAACATCAGGGTAGTTGACTATAGCCAAGAACATTCTGCCCTCCATATCGATGCAGCATACTCCTCGTATTAATAGTTGTCTAATAGCAAGCTATTTAATAGTCTTTAGACTCTTATTTCAAATATGAATTGAAGATATTAATATTCATAATGGTTGTCTAACAGCAAGCTATTTAATAGTTTTTAGACTCTTATTTTAAATATGAATTGAGAAACTTAATATTTATTACTTGGTTACAGTGACATTAGCACACTATTAATTACTATCGTAGTAATAGTGTGCGCAAACACCCTTATTCTTGAAAAATTCTGCTTGATTGACACATCTTGATTGTGAGCATATTCAAGTTCGGTCGTTAGAATAAATTTGAGTAAGAGAGAGCGCAACTTGGCTGACAGTCGAAACTGCAAGTCTCCACCGCGCTTAAATGAGTTGAGCAGTTAATGAACATTAACTCTCATAGTGTGAACTGGGTATTAGCACAAGTAACATATTATTTACAAAATTTTAGCTAAATAAAATTTTATTGTTGTTCTGTGTTTGGGTAGAGAGGTTTGTTTTGTATCTTCTAAGTATTATCTTTTTTTCAAAATGCTATATATATTATATAGATTTTTTTAACATGCTTTTTTTTACTTTATTTGCTACTAAATTTTTAAACTAAATGTATTTTGAACAATTAATATCCTTATACAATATTTTTCCTTGATTCAAGCATTGAGTATTAAAAATTTGCATGCATATAAAAATCGTAATATTTTTTCCTATTTGTTTAGAATAATAAAAATATTTTTGGAGTGTTTTAAATTCTAAAAAATAAAAGATAATACTTTTACTTGTATCCGTAACTAGAAATGCCAAATTTTCAACTTTATTTATATAAAATATAATCTCGCTGAATATAGTCTTAAAAAAAGTAAACATAGTTGTAAGAATATTTAGAATTTTATAGAAGTATTGTAAAAAATTATAAAGGATAATTTTTTTTGAGGTTGAAATGTAAAATTTTGTGATGATTTCAAAATGATTGTGTACAATTTTGAAAAAGAATGATATGATAATTAAAAAGGTATTTACGCAAAGTAAAAATGTAATTAAGTCAATAATGTTAAGGACATTCCGTTTTTAAATTAAAAAAGAAAAATTAAAAATATAACTATTTATTACTCTTGCACCTACAAAATTGGCTTCAAATAAATTGCAATTTTATTAAATTAAATTCTATATGTGAATTAATTATAAATCCAGCACAACTGTTTTTTATTTAATAAGCAATCAACTTTTACCTCTTCTCAAACTTAATAATTGTGCCATTTTAAATACAGTAAAGTAAACTATCAATAAATATTGTAAATTTAATTTATATCTTATATTATCAAATATATTTTTTATTTAGTTATAAATTTTAAAATATTACAATTTATTTCATGCTAATTTTAATTATTTATAAAAAGTCTTAAATACTTTCATTGCATTATTATGTGAACAATATTTGTTGAGCTTAGTACAATGACAAGAAAAAGATTATATGCCCGACATATATAGCACAGAAAATTATTCACAAAATACATATTTTTAAAATAAATAATTGTTTTTTAATTTAAAAAAATAATATTGCTTCCGTATATTAAAGCATTTACGAAAAACAAAAACAAGCGTTTAAAATTATTTATGTCAGGAGTAAGAAATGTATAATATGGTATATATAATTAAAAATTATATAAAAAATCTATAATTATTTTTTATAAATATTTTAAAATAAATTAAATAAAAAAATTAACATAAATATATTAACAAAATAAAATTAATCTCATATTAAGTTTTATGTTAAACAACGAATGTTGTGTTGTGTACTAAGCTGAATCTACAATTAAATATATATATATAATATATACTTTATATAGTTTATTTAAAATGCAGTTTCAAAAATGTTTTAAATTCAAAACAAAAAGCAACACAAAAATTGTTTATTATCGAATATATCCTGTTCTTTGAATGTATATATTATTTAAAGTTGTATTAAAAATGTGCAAAGAAGGAATAAAAAATTATTTAAACGAAAGTGTGTGACCATTTATTTTTTTATAAGATATAACATTGTTTATTAAATATAAAAACAGAGTTTTTGGATATATATTTAAATATATCACAACATAAGGAAGGGTAAGAATTGAATGAATCTTTCATCTAACGATGAAAGAAGAATTTCGAAGGATTATATCTAGCTTATATCGAGTAATTTTTAGCTTTGCAACTAGTTGAAGCTACAGTAAATGAAACTGAAATTGGTGTGTACCGAACAGATAAGCGACAGTATAAACCATGGCTTAAATTGAGCCAAAATAGTTCTGTATGCACGAAGAGGACGATTTTCTATCTAAATGTGAGACAAATGTTTTATATTCTGTACCTTAGGACAATTGAACAGATAGACAATGTTGTGAAAGGTAGAACAACATGAGCACACATCAGGAATATATAGATAAATTCGGAACTAGTAGCGTATATAGCTACTCACTCGTTCTGAATGTGCTCGTGTTTACCTGACGTATATTTCTGACGTGTCACTATACCTTAACCGGGTCAGATCTTATAGTTACAGACCAAACTGTGTGTCGAAACAGTTATTGTAACAGTGTGAAGGAATAATAACCTTTCATGGTATTCAACCTTATTAATATATTCTCTATGACAATATTTGTCAATTTATTCAAGGTACAAAATAATGATGAGATTAATGTACCAGAGCGTCAGGACTAAATTCTATAAATATAAATTATCTTTTTAAATTATTCGGCTTACTTTGGAATGGAGAACCTATGTATTTTTCACATCTGTATACATATATGCAGAATTCATGTTTGCATTGTTTTATCTTGATTGTAGGGATGTTTAGGCCGCGTGCGAGTTCAAGTAAATAGAGGTAAAGTTAATTAAAATTTCCTAGGGATTTTTTGTACTGCACTTTTATATAAATATTTATTAATTTATTTATTGCACTTGTTAATTATTTTTGGTTAAAGTTTTCAAATTTATTATTTATTTATTAAACACCTAATATACCTCTTTTTTTCCTAACTACTCAAAATTCAGGTAAATACCAACATTTGCTGCCATACCGACATAATTTACTATTTTCCTCAATTTACCATTAATTTACTCAAACTCGCACACGGCCTATATACATTATTACCTCTCCTTCTGTAGATTAGATTGACAATCGCTACACACTACGTATTAGTACTCTCTCTCTCCCTCTCTCTCTCTGTCTGTCATTGCTACATGACTCACAACATAAGCCAAAGTCGTTTCCTAATCAAACATGTTACAGGTATGACGTAGTTTGTTTTGTTGTTAACACAAACTGTGGCGGCAGCACCAAACAAAACAAAATTGAAGTTGTTTAGCTTCAGTTGTATTCGAGCTTTCGTTGAGTTTGTTTCGTTTTGTTGTGTCGCACCGCATCGCATCGCATCGCAAAAAGTTGCTATCGCTTTGACCGTTTCAAGCGCCACGAATATTACGAGTTGATATAATAAATTTTACCTAATTATGTGCTGACATGAAAGTCGGTATAGTGAAATAAAATGGTAATTTATTGTGTAAATAAAAAAAAAGGAATTAACAAAAAAAAAATTATAATAAATAAATAAATAAAAAAAAATGTAACTTTAAATGTAAACAAAATAAAAATTGCTGTGCCGCCTTATTTTGCCCTACGGCGAAATTTAATTGAAAATTGAGGTGCGCTTGTTTATAAACAAAATTAAATGTTTATAGACAAAATTTGTAACAAATTTTTAAACAAAATTAAAAAGATAAATAAATTATATTGAAATTTCAAAATCAATTGTGAAAGAAACAATTTTTTGTTAAGAATTAAATATTTAATTTCAATTTGTTGAATTTATTCACTCAATAGTTCTTCTCGGTGTAATAATTATGGTTAATTATAATAATAACAACAACAACAATAGCAACATATTAATAACAACTTAACAACCGATATTGTAGCAACAAAGTTTAATTTGTTTGTAAACATAGAGTAAGAAATTTGTTGCTTTTGAATTTATTTATGCTCGGCTGAGTTTCAATACTTCACATGGAGGCAGGTTGGTTTTTCATAGATACTCCACTA